GCAGTACACGCTCCCTGACCCCTCTAAACACCCACTGGCCAAGCTTTCTTGAGGGAAGATTCATTAAAACAGGTTTAATTTTACTGGCTGATGAATACTGTTTTCCTGTGAGATAACCTATTACCAAGGATGTCGAGCATTGCATCACTCCCTCTCCACCATAGGCATAAACATGCAAACTTGGTCAATCTCGAAATATGTTTTGCATTGAGGATCTTAGCTCTACCTGCCGGCAAGCAGCCATGAACGTCTTCAAAGTAGTCATATTTCAATGATATTTTGTACATATTTGATTTATTATATTTTCAACAAAGGAAAAAATATCAATGTATGTTATTGATGGAAAATGGAACGATGTGCTTTGAGGGGGTTCACAGATATACAACTGGCCTTGAATAAGGATGGTGAACAACTTCAGCTTCGTGAGTGAAGAGTGAACACAGGCTACATGAATCATTATAAAAGGCAAGAAAAATTTATTGTTTCTGCTTGCAGGGTGCAACTTTTTAATGCAGTCGCTGATTATGTGCGGGAAGCATTAGCTTTGAGCTCACTGTTCATTTATGAATTGTCCTATTAACTTGTAACAGTAGGAGAACAGTTTTAACAGTTGATTCTAATGCCATCTACTGGTTGTAAAGCAGATCCATACTCACCACACCAAGTCAGCAGTTGTAGGAGCTTTATATAGTCTAATGGTGTAACCACTTCCCTGCCAGAGCTTAAAACCTGTTCTGAGAAAAACATGAAAACTACTATTACTGACTTCTGACATTGGTGGTCAGTATACATTGATGGTCAGTGTAAATGACCGTTACATTCCGGCTCAGTGTGATTGTCTCTCTTACATCAGTGATCAGTGTGAATGTACCCATTTCAATTGTGGTCGTCTTGAATGCCTCTGTTACATTAGTGCTCAGTGGCAGTGGAAAAACATGCTACTTACATGTTTTCTTCGTCCTAGTCCAAAGCAGGAGTCAAGTGAAATGAGGTTGTCATGGTGGTAATGAGACGATTGGTTCCCAATTTTGTATTATATATGCTACTTTATGGGGGTTAGGCTACCATATTTCCGTAAAACAATGTGGTTCAGGTAGTAATTGCATGTCATGAAAAGGTAATCCTTCCTAGGATTAGGCGACTGGCCAAGCTTGGCTAGTCTGTTTCTCGCTAGATGACCAGAGAACACAGGAGAAATTGCAATATTATCATCCAGATACAATTAACTTGACATTGCTATGATAGTATCCCATAAATTCTATTACAAGGTGACCATGGAATTTGTCACATTGATAAAGTTCCTGGCAAAAGCTGTCTTAGGCTACACCTCCTCAGCTACTGAGATCTGGCAATACCTGCTGGTAAGGCCTCAAACTGAAAGTAGCAGACCTTCTCGAAAAACTGGCCTTTCTGTTTCTAGCCCCAATATGCTTCTTTTGATTAGTACATATTTAAAGTATCCTGTCCTAGAACTTTTTGGTCACCCACTGACAATTAAGCAACTACATCTTTTACCTCTTGATACAGATGCATACTTACTAACTGTCCAGGAAAACAAAAACAAAAATGTTTTGGCTGGAGTTGAACTTCAGGTTTTATTATTGACATTTCACATAATTTTACAACTGCGTGGCATTTGCAATATTAAAAGACCTCCAAACTGTCGCACATTCTAGAACAGCAGTCGCCAGCGGTCCGCGAGCCCCTCTGATGCTGTGCAGGCTGAGCCATCATTGAAGCGGCACGGAGGCTCCTGGGCTGCCTCTCACTGACAAGCAGCAGCTGTCACAAGGAATGAGCGGCTCTCAGTACAGTGCAGGCTCTGCAGGAGGCGGGGCATCTTGTCAGTACCCGGATTGAGCAGGCTGCGGGACATAGAAAAAGTCGGGAGAAGCCAGGTAACTGGAGGCACGGGGGTTGTTGGGGCAGTGCTGAAGGTAGGGGGCATGTGCCCGAGCACCACCAGCAGGACCAGTGGCAGATTCGATAGGGGGGAAACAATATTACTGGGCCAGGGCAAGCGGCACCACTCCCTCCCTCCACCAGCACTGCCACTCCTGCAGGCACACCCGCACCTATGTATGTATGTGTATATATACTGTATGTTGGTCACAGGAGACTAAGTTTATCCAGGATCATGGACATTTTATAACCATTTATTATTGTCACTGGAGTTTGTGTATGTGTAAATATATATATATATATATATATATATATACACACACACGAGAATATATTTATATAGGAGGAAACAAATAATATGATAATATACATATATATTTTTAAAAAATTAATATTAGTGGTCCGCAGGATTTAAAATTATGATTTAATGGTCCATGAGGTCCGAAAGGTTGGCGACCGCTGTTCTAGAAGTCCTCCTCAAGTCAGTTGAGCACTTCAGGGCTATTCAGCTGTCATCCTGGAGGTTCCCAGCAAGCTTGGAGACAGAACCAACTTAGAGACAATTAAGAGACAATTCTCCTTATGAAGTCATTTAGGAAGAAAACATGAACTAGGATAATAAATCTGTCACTGTATGCACTAGAAATCAGGAATGACCATTTAAAAGACGGTGATGATGCAACCAATTGATAGATTCCCCCCAATGTATATATTTGCTGACACTGAATCTGCTTAATATTCATATTCAAATTCAATTTAATCATAATCAATTACATTACTGTAGTCTGATATGGTCAGTGTTAAATGATTTGCCCTTCCCATTGAATATTGGACAAAATGGCTTTATACTGTCGATGGCCAAAAAACGATATTGCGGAAACGGGTCCCCTTCAACATGTGCAATGTGGTTGTTTTTCATATAAACTTATTAGAATTTAATTATAGCTACACATTTACCAAAAGAACAATTCAATGTGATAAAAAAACAACATTTGTGCAACTTACGATTTCAGTATAAACAGACAAATTCCGAACGGCATTAACAAAACACCAGACATCACAAGAAGAAAGAATGACACATATGTACTACAACAAAACAGTTTCTTTTTTTACATTTATTTCATAACAGCAATACTTAAAAATATGTAAACAGATTCAAATAGTTAATCTGCTCAGAAGGAACCCAGATTATGTGTTGGTATATGGTAAATAATTGCAGATTATCTGTTTTTTACTAATAGGTTAACATATGTGCAGAACTAGCCATTTAAAAAGAACAAATATACTGTAGTGTATTGCCATGGTGTTCAGTAAGTGAACTTTGGTAGAAGATGCAAATATCCAAACCACCTGTCCTGAGATATGTAGGCTGCCATTGCAGTCTGTTTCTTATGAAATGCTAGTTGCCTGGTTGTCATGCCAATGTTTTGACTTCACAAATTTCACTGAGCCATGACAAGCTCTGCTTTGTGAAGTAATTCAGCCAAAGCCAGGAATTTAGCATTTACAAAAAGGGTCAGCAATGGCAGATCCAATGTGTCTCTCTTGACAGGCTTATTTTAATTAAAAATCAAAATGATACTTTATTACTTAGAACCTAGAGCACAAATGCAATATAAACTTTTTTTTTAAATTTAAATCTCAATAATTAGTAGTCACAACTTCTTTTTTGCTTATATACAAAATGTTCTTACTTTTTACAGATAATTGGATTTGAAATGTAAAATATAGAGCCCTGTACCGATCATTTTAGTATCTGTTTGTCTGGCAAACTTTCCTATATAGCACAGAGAGACACAGAGATCATCGTCTGATTGCCAAGAACAGGCAGAGTGTATTGGAAGTATAATCAACCTGACCACACATACAACAAACAATGTATTGTAAGCAGGGACAAGATTCTGTTTGGTCAATGACGCCACCCATGGCTGGTTTGTTAGCAACCGGCCAGGGATCTGCCATTTATAACAGGAGTAGCAGCACAGAAAGATTTGGCAGAGGGTCACAATTCCAGTCTCCAAGACTCCAGCCATGTTTAGTTGGAGACTGGAGCATACATAAGAAGCAGAGAAGAGTGTTACAAAAAAAAAACCCATGTGGCTGATCCTAAGACAGGTATCTCTATCTATTTGGTGAGTGCGGTTTTTCTTAAAGAGCACAGTGGTGTAAAGGAGCACAACATAATTTGTGAGCATAGAAGAATTGATAAATCGTGTGCACTGCGCTACTGCTCATAAACGTGCATAAACTTCCAAACAATGTGTTAATTTTCATAAACATAAATTTTCAAACATAATAATAATCAATATGACAATATTCAATAATAGTCCTTAATAAATCGGTATAAAGTGCTTTTGTGCAAAATCCTCAATGTGACAATGATCCTCTGACATAATGTGCTCCCGACTCCCGATGTGTTACGGTAACTGAGAACACACTTACCAGAGATCCATGACCATATAACTCAATGGTCAATAAACATAATTGTGGTGAGTGTCTTTATATATAGAAGAATTGAATCACCTTGGAAATAGACTTTGGGGGTTATTCACAAAACGGTGAAGGGTTTGGATAAGGCAGGAGAAGTGAACAATCTAGGACAAAATAGCAGATTTGGAAAAGTCCTCCAATTCAGCTCACTTTCCAGGTCAGCTATGTTGTCCTAGATTGTTCCCTTCTCCTGCCTTCTCCAAACTCTTCACCCTCTTGTGAATAACCCCCTTTTTTTGTGTGTTACACTGATGATGCATGAGTTTTTTGCACTTGCATTGGTCAATTTTGAGAAAATAGTGGAGGATATCAGTAGGTGGAATATTTAAAGAAGAGAATATTATAATCTTTGGATATTTACATGAAATGTTGGATACACAAAGGGAGATTGTATTGTCACATATTTATATTATTCAACACTGGTATACATTAGAAATATATATATTGGGATATGTATTTGGAATATACACTGATTAGAAACTAGATGTGAAACATTGAGCGCTGTGCAGTTGTCATACAATTGACTTTCACATTTGTTTTACTTTTATAGCATTGCAGCTTGCAGTTAGGAACACAAGGGAAGGTCTAAGCATGGTTAAACAGATAAATCATACGTTTTTGTTTTTTTTAATGACGCAGGGTTCAGAGGACGGAACCACAGAAGTGTGGAATGCCAATGTGGTTGGCGGAGGTTGCAGCACTGGAATGAAAGGAAGATGGGAGACGCAGTCTGCCAGACAGGTGAGTATATTGGCTCTTCTATTGTGGCAAACTGGATTTAGGATTTTCTAAAAATTTGAGAGGGTCACTTTAAAAAGGAAGCAAATTAAGGCGTGAGGACATGCATGATGGCCACACTCCTCCAAGTGAACGGTCTGCCTGTGAGTATGTGTGTGTGTGTGTATATATATATTATATAGTTATAAAACAAAAAACAACAACCACTCTGTGTTCTGTTTATATATATGTATGTACACATTTCTCAATATATACATTTACCAGACCCAAAAATCACTTCTAAAGTAATTTCAAAGCTGTCCACATCAGTTCTCGTGTGTCCTCGCACACTCACTCTTATGGATTTCTTGGCACCATCTTTGAGATCACGTGGCTTCATCTCTGAAGCATTTCTTGCTTGTTTAGCGTAAGGCAAAGCTGTAAGTACTTCATGGCAACATTTTGGATAGTGTTTGAAACATTCAAATGTATCTTTGCACTTATCACACGGGAAGTACTGACATCCTTCTTTTGGTGTCACTGAAAGACAGTTCGATCTTCTTCTGGCAAACAGTTTGTGCAACACCTTAAAAAGTGATACATGATGGCAAACCCTGGCATGTTTCATGCACAGACAGTGTAAGCCAAAAAATTTGTGTAGAACTGTAAAATGTTTGCAAAGCATATTTCGGTAATTGGGCTTCAAGAAAAGATAAATCATCGGATTGTACATCGTTGAAGCTTTTGCAAAAACTGCAGGCACTGCAAATGCCAAAGGAGGAATGACATCAATAGACCCAAATGCTGCCCACATAGCAATAATGGCGTATGGACTCCATGCTGTGAAGAAACCAATGCACACTGCGATGCTTAGCTGAAAAAAGAGAGACAGTATGTTGTATTAGAAAAGAGCTACAATTTTAAATATTACAGTTGGATAGAACTACAATTTCTCTTACATTACACACAAAATACATATGGGGGCTGATGTATAAATGTTCTACCCAGCATATAGCTGGGCACATGCCATTTGCACTGCATGAATCCACTAGATCAGGGATAGCCAAACTCCAGCCCTCCAGTTGTGGTGGAACTACAAATCCCATGAGGCATTGCAAGATTCTCACAACCACAGACATGACTCCCGGAGAGAGATATATCATGAGATTTGTAGTTTCACCACAGCTGGAGGGCCGAAGTTTGGCTACCCCTGCACTAGATGGAGCCAAAGAACATAGCAAATTGCTACATCTAGTGGCATGAATGATTAAGTTTCTTTGTATTTTTTAAACCTCTCAATCAAAGTCATCCCTACAAAAAAAGACTTAACACTAATCCCGCCAGCTGCCTACGCCATTATTTTCCGCTGTCTTCATGTGCTATGCTGGCTAACTTCAGGGTGTGTCAGATGCTTGTTCTCCTCCAATGGCTGTGGTTCCTTCGGCCTACCCCTACATCACTACAGGGCACAGTAGTCTTGTAGATGCCGGAGGTAGAAGAACGTTAACAGACCAGGCATCCAACACATCTGGAAGTGAAGACAGCAGAAATCAGTGGCATGGGCAGTAGGAAGGGTAAGTATTAACCCTTTTCTTTTGCAGGGATGTCTTTGATTTAGAAAATAAAGAAAGTCACTGTCACTTTAAGTTCAGGATTGTTCTATGATGAATGGGTTGTTATTGTTGCATGCATGGCTAACATAGCTTATTCATAATGAAGGCCAGTGAGGCAACTGTTTGTATATTCATAGCTGGGACCCACTGCAAACCTCTTGTTATTTCTGACAACAAATTGAGGCAAGTGTAATGAAAGTTTCATACCCTTTCCCCATAGAAAGTACAGTTAAAGGTTGCAAAGAGATTGCACAAGATGTTGACGAACACAGAAATGCAACTGTCACTATCTTTAGCCAAAGTGGCTCGCTTGCTGGGCAAATTCTGCATAATCTGAATTGCTAGAGTGGGAGAAGCAACTGAGCAACAGCTTATTGATCTGGACAGTGCAACACTACAGAAGATGATTTGTAGCTGGGAGCGGAATGCCTAATAGCAGGGAAAATATGACAGTAATTGCCGTCAGACACTGGCTGTCAGGATTGGGGATGGTATCTATGTGTCACCTGTTTCTCACATGCACATGGTGAGGGGGTCCAGGGTTTATGGCTGGTGTGGAGACAACATACTCTTTATTTTTTTTAGAATCTTAATGAATTCTGTTCTGGGTCCTGTAGCCCAGAGGCTTTGCAGAGATTTGGATGGGATAAGGCCTCCATTCCTAGATCCACGTCTTACATGGTAGCCAGAATTTATTAGTCTCATCCAGGAGGATAACTAGAAATCACAGGGCCCAATAGCAAAATTTTGTATGGGGCCCTGTGATTTCTAGTTACACCCCTTGAAGAGCCCACTTGGGATCCCACACAGCTCACCTGAGGGTGACCCTGCAGAGCCCACCATAGAACATCTATGGTGGGCTCTGCAGGGTCACCCTCAGGTGGGCTGGTCACACTCCTTACCTGTCCGCCTCTTCTTCCTCCGTCTTCCCTCCTCCGTCGCCGGGCCTGCCTCCTCCTCCGTCGCCGGGCCTGCCTCCTCCTCCGTCACCAGCCCCGCCTCCTTCTCTGTTGCTGACCCTGGGCCGCACCTCCTCCTTCCCCCTGCCGGATCTGGCCTCCTCCACCGCCGCTGCTGGCTCTCATTGACTCAGCAGCAGCTGTGGAGACGAACGCAGCGCTGCAAGATCACCGACAGTGATCTGAACAGCGGTGCGTTCGAAGCCATAGCGACCCAGGCGGCCCGCACGGCATCAGGGGGTGTCCTGGCTGGGCCCCCCTGTGCCCAGGCCCCATAGCGGCCGCCTGGGTCGCTATGGCGATTGTTACGCCACTGGTCTCATTATGCACAGGCCTTTATATGTGAAAGCTGACTGATGCTCAGGGCTGACTCTCTGCTCTCTGCAGTAGTGCCTACTGATGTGTGAAAAGGCTGAGTGCTGACAGGACACTGAAAGAGGTACAAGAACTGCCAGTTTGGGGAACCCATTAGGGGAGCCCCTGTTAGTCAGGAACTAAGCGCTGAGCAGATGTTTTGTTTGTTTTATGCTCTGGTCTTGCTGTACACAGCTCTCCCGCATTGAAGTTGTTTGTTTGCTGCCTTGCTAAAAAAAATTGCAAGAGAAGCCTGCTCTGACGTTCGTGAGTGTTCCCCTTACATTTCTTTAGGGCACATTCAAAATGGCTAATTGGAGAAAAAGGTGATTTCTGATGCTGATTTCACTCAAGCTCTGACACCTATATGTGGTTTTGATGGATATCACTAATACAGTGTACAGGGCCGGATTTCCCACAAGGCCAACCGAAGTTCCGGGTGCCGGGCGGCAGGTATTTCTATTGGCTAACAACTACCGGGCGGGTAGTTGTTTTCTAGATTTAGTTCTGCTTTGGGCAACCAGCGCAAAATGTACAACAGGGAAGACACTCGTTCGTTAAGAAGTGATCTCGCCAAGATCACCTGTGTGCAGCCTGCTCATCCGTCCTCCCCTGTCCGTCCCGTCCAGCCATCCCCCAGCCTTCCGTCTCACCTGTCACAGGAGTTCCTGTGCTGTGCTAGAACTCCTGTATTGGAGGTGACAGGTTCAATAAAGAGAACCTGTCACCTCCAAATGCTATAACAGATGGTGTAAGAGTCCAGGGCTTACTACGCATGCGCCAAAGGCGCGTTGCCGCAAGAGGAAATCTGCGCCAACTGTGCACGCGCTAAAGACGCGTCAGTGTGCCAACCCGTGCATGCGCAGAAGACCTGATAGAAAAAGGCAGGAAAATGCCCAGGAGGCGCACAGGAAGTGACCTCAACCTGATGGAAAAAGGCAGGAAAATGCCCAGGAGGCACACAGGAAGTGACCTCAACCTGATGAAAAAAGGCGGAAAAATACCCAGGAGGCGCACAGGAAGTGACCTCAAACTTCAATCATCACTTCCCTATATAAGCCCAGCCCAGACACTGCCAAATTGCTGGATTATCTTCAGTTCCCCCTTGTTCGTGATCTGTCTGAACTTGTTGTGACCTGGAAACCTCTTTGACTACTCTTGATTGCTGCCTGCCATTGACCTCGGATTTGTACCTTGACCATTCTACTTCTTTGCCCCTTTTGTACTCAGCTGCCAGATTGGAACCGACCCCGGCTTGGATCTCGACCATTCTTTTGATTAACCCTTGTGTACTTCGTTGCCAGAGTGGACTTGACCGCGGCTCGGATCTCGGACTAAGGCTTGCCCGGTGCTCCGCACCCCTGGCACCCGTGCCACTTGGTGTCCACCAAGTCTCTGTCTCCATCTCCAGAGACTTCAAGGACCCGAGGTGCAAGGGAGGCCTCCCCACTACTTCGGTCTCACCTCAGGTACGTGGCTCTCATGACAGAGGGGCTTGTTAGCAATAAAGTTAATTGAAAAAAATTTAAAATAAAATTAAAAAAATTAAAATTGATAAAAAATTCCAAAATAAATAAAAATTAGGAAAATAAATAAGTAAAAAAATTAAATAAAAAGTTGATAAAAAGTAAAAAATACAAAGTAACAAATAATAAGAATTTTGTTTTAAATAATAAGATAAAAAAATTATTAAAAATAAAAAAAGTAAAAGATAAGATAAATAAAAATTTTAAAAAAGTGAAGAAATAAATAAAAATTACAAAAGTTAAAAAAATAGAGAAATAAATGTAAAACTAACCCTGCTTCCCCCACCATCAGGTTGCCATTCTCCATTGGGAGTGGGGCGCATAGAGAAACCTGGCCTTGGGGAGGAAGAGAGAGTAAATCTGGCCCTGACAGTGTATACAATGTGCTCTATTCAGAGATCGGTCTCATTGGAAGCCGGGCTTGTTGACTTACTTGAGATTCAAGGGACACATCCTTGGAATGACCATACATTAAGAACTTGGGTTGGACTGTTACAATTTCATGCTGTTCGCAGCCTACAGTTGGATACATGACCGGAGTTTATATTACTTATTCATATTGATACAACTTATAGGCATATATCAGGGAGTGTGGTATATTCCACTCCTCAGGACATGCTGCCTGGACAAACTTTTTATATATGGTGATACAGTGCCAGTCTGGTCACGTTTGGATGAGTTTCTGATCAATACCAGAGCCTATGGATACCAGATCTCTGGGTATTTGCATTGTGCAGATGCAGTTTTTACTGGATGAATTGCATATATACAGCTTTTGTTATTAAAACCACAGGCTTATTTTTTGAATATTGGCATTGGATACACACTGAATGGATGTTTATATATACTGGGACATTCAATATACCGTTACATTGCCACGTATTATGCCCCGCACAGCCTAGTTCCCCTAGGCGGATTTTAATGTTTTATGGGATCGTTATGGTGGTGTTTTCATTGTATATTTTTTTGTTGGTTGTTTTTGTTCAGATTTTTTTCTGTGGATCAAAATAAAATAGTTATATCCTTTTATGTGGTATGGAGTGACTCTGAGAAACTACCGGATATTTATTTCATCCTGTTTGGAGGGTTCTAAGTTTTCATATTTTACTGACCTGACCGGATGTGGGCAGATATAGACAGACCTAGGTCTGTTTACATCAGACCACCCATAGTTATTACATAGTCTTTCCTCCATACCAAGATGGAGGAAAAGTTTGAACAAACACGGATGTCACTAATGTGACGTCTCTCTTCTGATCTGACTGGATAGGGACCTATCTAGCATCCCCTGTTGAGACAGAACGGATGGCGTCTTTATCTGTACAAAAGGGGCCTAAACAAAATTGTGTTGAAATATATAGGTTGCCATTGCTGACCTCTTTCTGAAAATGTATTTGCTAGTTGTCTGAATGTTATACTTTT